AACACTAATAAATTAAATAATTTAACCATATTCATACAGTATGAACTGGGGGGGTTGGAAGGTTCAATCTCAATCCTAACCCTTTTACTATCTGTGTATTTTCACTGTCTGGCTGCTACTTATCTACATTTTCTATTACAAACCTACGTAATGTGTTGTCAACAACACAACATTGTATGAAAAACTCTTAACACTGAATGTAAAACCACAAAACACATCCTGACATTTGAAACTGATATGACTCAAATATAGATGTTCATTTATACTTTGTCATCCTTTCGAACTGTGTACAGTATTTACTGTGCAGCTGTATCTTTACTGCCAACTAAAGCTCGTTTACTAATACTTGTCAACATATCGGGACATATGAGATGTGTTTTCTGTGGTACAACATTTCTGGACGTATGACGCTAACATTGACAAGACATTAACCTCTTATTTTACAAAAAATGTAAATGCTTAATAACTACAGAAACTATTTCAAATTAAAAAAAAATATATTTTATTGTGGAGCATCCTCCCTCCTCTCCTCCAGCTCCTTGCTTCTCTCATCTTCCTCAAACGCCTCTGCACACATGGACAAAAAGATAAAAAAATCTTAATTTTGTCATTGTCTGTTTTCTCACATTCAGTCTTCAATCCAATTGATAAAGGATACAAATATATTCACACCCTCCACATTCACTCACTCAATAACCTGAATTATGTTCATTTGGATGTTAAATCCTCATCTGCAGTTCCAGTGATGTTTGTTCTTAATAACACGTCACAACAGTTGAACTACAAATCAGCCAACAGCAAAACTCCAACCACCATCACTGACTCACTCACAGTTACAGACTTCTGTGTTTATAGGGCTGGTACCTGCTCTGCCACTGTACAACCAAATATTATTAATGATATAATAAATATTAAATTATTACACAAACACACATATCACTAGCAGGCAAAACCACAATAAAACACCAACACGGAAAAGGCAGCGGCCACCTGGAGGTCCTTGACCTTCTGAGTGGCCTCCGTCAATTGGGCAGCCTGCTGCTGGGCTGCTCTTGTGAGGCGGACCTCCTGGACCAGGACACCCATGACCCTGGCATGGGCCTGCATGACCTGCCGATAAATGGTGAAATGTTCATGTTGTGGTCATGAACATTGTGGTTGAGGTCCCGCCCCTCCTACATGCTTTGTCCGATTCGCACAAAATTTTTCACGTAGCACCTGGGGACCGTCCTGGCAAAAAAAGTAATTTGAAGTATTTTGATATTTCAAAAAATAGATGTTATAAAATTAGCACTTCCTGTAAATTTTTCGTCAAAAAAGGAAAAGTGGACATTTCCCACATTGGTATGTCGCATTGACACCAGCTTGCGTCCATAGTTTCCCCATGTCTTCCTAGGCATCTCGTAACAAATTTCCAGGGCATTGCCAACAAGGTGGCGCTCTTTAAAATAAAAAGTTTATATCTCCGCATTCGGCACATGTGATTTAAAATGAAACTCAACATAACCAAAAATCGTTCGTTTGTCTGTTTGTAGCGCCTACAGGATTTTAAAAAAAGCAGCCCCGGAGCCACGTTTCACCGATATGTACGAAACTCGGTAGGCACGTGAAACTTCACCTACACGT